CGTCCCTGCTGCTCGTCTATGGTTGGCTCGGAGGACTGGTGCCAAGCCGGGGAAAGGAGTGCGAGCACCCTTTGATTTGGAGGTTTTATTTCGCAAGACTTCGGGATCCGCCTGAAGTTTCCCTCCGGAGCCGTAGCCTAGCTTGCAAAACCTAGCTCGTTTGGTGCTAGCGTATACCTGCGTTTGCAGCCAGCTCTTGCCACACTGGCTGTCTTTAATTCATACCCCACGTAACGTGCACCACCAAGCCCTGCTGCGCCTCCCGCATCGAGAGAAATCCCGAGCGGCAGCTTTTAACTGTGGTTTTGAATATGCCTGTTGCCCCTCTAGCTGCAGGGATGCCTGGAAATGCATGGGCCAAAACAAGACAGCCAGAAACGTTATGTGGAAAGCATATTCTGCCTGAGTTCTTAAGCCGGTTTCATGACTTTGGGGGAAATCTGAGCAACATGTATTGTAAGGAAGCCTCATGCCATTCCTTTTGCCAAGAATGGCTGGGACAAAAAAAGAAACATAAAGTCGAGAGGTTAGTGACTCGCCCAGCTTCCTTACAAGTGCAAAATACAAACACTCACCTTTTTTTCCTGTGTCAGTGTTCATAGTTCTACCTGCTAATAGATGTAGGTAATTCACCTCTGGTGTTCCTGACATACATAAAATTTCTTCTTATGGTCTTTTGGAGATAGATTTTTCATATACACCATTTTAAACTTTACTAGAACAACTGTACAGTTTCAGACTCGGCAATTTATTCATTGCTGTTAACCCTTTCTTTTTCTTTAATTGCTATCTGCATTTTCTGGTTTTTTTTCCAACTTTCCATCTTAATCATGAGTTCAAATGAAAAAGCCTCTCTCGCTAGACATCAGTGCAGTTTCTTTGATATCTAATGTAATATTCCCAAACAACTCCTTTGCAGACTGTTAGAAGCTTCTAAGTCAATATTAGTTAATTTTCATTATCTTGACTCTTCTCACATAATTTGTCATAGGCCAAAGGGAGATTTAATTTTTAGCACTGACCAGATCAAAAAAAAAAAGATTCCAGGTAAGCTTGACTAATAAATTACACTTTTTTTTTCAGACATTCTTAGTATTTTAGTTGCTCTTTTGTGTGACTTTACGTTTGACCTGGTTCTTCATCTGCCTCCCATCTTGCTTGTCTGCTGTCTATTCCCCCTAACACTGCTTTCCCAAAACATCCCAAACAACAACTTTTAATTCATGAGTTACTGATCAGTAACCACGGTGATCTTGGAGAGTTCTTTTTGCTTTGTTTAATTTCCTCCTGGAGCACAACCATTTTATTTTAGCCTTAGCAAAAGAAGACTGCCAAGCTTCAGCATTTTGTCTTTATTAAAATTCATTAAACTGTTGTCTTGGTTTTATTTTTCCTCTATTATTTCAGTAGCCATGGAGATCTTACTGTTTTGTGCCATTTCTGCCTGGGTACTGGTGATGCCAACTTGTTTTTTCAGAGCTTCACTGTTGCTTCTTTTGCTTTCTCCTAGCGCATGTGAGCTTCAAGTTTTGGGGGAGGAGGTCTGTATTATTTCGATTAAAAAGTCTATATTCTTGTTCAGCTAAAGCAGTTTATATTAGCATAATGGCTTCTAAAAGTTCCATAGTTAAGCAAGACCATACTGATAGTTCCGCTAAAAGATATGACCAAGAGAGAAGCTTGTCTCATAGCAGAGGGGATTGCAGACAGTCCTCCCATTGCTTGCGTGCATGTTTTGCTGTACTGACAGCCTTGCTTCTCTTGCTCAACTACATTAGAAGCTTGCTGGAGCTGATGCTAAAACGTTGAGGGCAACTCTTCAAAACTCACAGTAGTCGTGGTCTAAACTTGGCTGTTGTGCAAACATTGCTAGTTAGCGGTCAGCTGTCCTATTCGACAGGGTTGAGTACAGATCTGCAACAAGTACAGGCAAGAACAGGTAAGTTTTGTATTGCTTGTTAGGCTCAATGGCAATGAGTGAAACTGCAAGATTCATTTTGTCTTTTTCTATATCTTGCGCCTACACCTGTCTCGGTGATAATATATGTTCAGAAACCTTAAGTTACAGATTTTTATCTGGTAAATAAGCCTGCAATGACTGCTCAGAATGACTCCCAAGACTTCTATAAACTGCATAATTCTTCAGCTCACTTTACATTTCCTCTCTTTTAACACATTTAATTCAAGTCAGACACCCTTGTAGGCCTTCCATCGATATAGTAACATAATTACTGCCAAATTAACACTACTTCATGCCATTTCCCTAATAGTTTTCCTACCAACAATTTGATACTTGTTCTTGTAGAAGTCTGACCCCCTGATGTGCCACCCACTTTGTCAGTGGAATGAACAAAGCCAAGAGAAAGGACATGAAGTGCAACGAAAACTCCTTCAGCCTTGAATTTTATATATATACACACATATATACATATGTATATGTTTTAACTCAGAAGTACTTAAGAGACTTTCCAGCAGAGAAGCAAGTAAAGATGCACGCACACAGTAAAAGCCCACGTTTTCCAGAATCTCTCTAGTTTGGTACTGTGACAGAATTCTGCCAAAATGGCATGTAACGCATGACAAACCTCATCATGCCCCCTCCCCATGCGTCAGACAATCTGCTGATGGCTGAACTTTATAGTAGTACAGGAAAAAACAGATATGATGCTACTATGAAGGAGGTACAGTCAGATATTCTTAAGGCATAAGAGAACATGTGTCTTTAGTTTTGAGGAGTGTCTCTGGCCAGAAACATTGAGGAAAATCTACTAAACATACCTGAAAGGGTCAACTACAAACTAGAGCATACCTGCACTAATAACTGAGGGACGTGCAAGAGTTGCTTGGAGGCCTCAGGGATTAAGACTACCACGGAAAAAGGCAGTCTGCTCCCTAAGAAAGGTATTAGACATTCAGTACGCTACTAGTATGTACACCTGGAAAGCACGCATAGCCCAAAGCTATGAATATTTACCTATTTTTTTTTTTGCTCAGCATTGAAAGGTAGAAGCACAGGGAGCTGAGCAACCGAAGCGGTTTGCACAATCTGGAAAAATTCCTGCAGCAGCTAGACCAGACCTGTCACACTTGAGCCAACTTCCTAAACGCCCTAATCCTCTGTCAGAGAAGTGAACTCAAGAGCCTTCATAACAGAGTAAAACGTGCTGTAGCCAGACAGCATACAGGCAGAATCGTGCGCCCACAAAAATCCCCTGCCAGCCAGACAGGCACGGGGCTAAAGCTACTGCTGTCTCCCGCTCTTGCGCAAAGGCGTTCACGATCCTTCGCCTTCGCTTGGCCTCAAGGGGAGACTCACCACCACGTACTCCAGCGGCCTGCGGAGCGGGAAGCTCCTTCAGGGCGTGTCAAGCGTACGTGAAAACGCGCTAGGCCCTTACACGCACTTGGTGGCGGCGCGGACGCCTGGGCGGGCAGAGGCCCTGACGGCCCGACCCCGGCGGAGCCAAGGCCTCCC